ACATGATCAATACTGCTGACATATACCCAGGAACTACACATACATAAATTAAAAAAAAATTATATGAACAATCCTGAAGAGGTCAAAGGGCTCTCAATATTATGGCCCTCGACTCACAGTAACTTGTATAATTTAATACATGAAAAACAAGGACACGGAGCTTGGGAGCAGACATAGGAAATTGTTTTGTGATTTTCTTCATTTTGATTGTATTGCTTTCCTGTCTTCAGGAGGAAAGACTTTGACTTCAAAAGTAACAAAATATTTGAGAAGAGAATTTACATCCTTCAGTTCTAAATGGTATTCTTGGGCGATTTTCTCAGCAGTCCATGTTTCTGGAGAGAGTTTATGGTTATTGAGAAGGGTCAATGCTTCCACAACAGTAATCTTGCCTTTGGGAATGTCCATGATATTCTTATTAAAGTGATTTCCTATCGGCAGTCTGAATTCCTTTGGTTCTTGCTGTTGTACAACATCTTTTACCTGGAACCAAAAAAAGAAAAGGCTTTAGAATAAAATATTTACATCTTCCATGACTCTTAAGTCTATACTATTTCTTTTCAAATAAACGCATACATACTTCCTCAAACTTTGCTTTTTCACTGTACTTCTCTTTTCCTAACTATAGCTCGCCATAACTAAGCCTCTATAAAACTGCAACTGAATGCACAGCATGAGATCACAGCCATTGAGCATTACTGACCCAAAAATGTGAGACCCTAAGTGCCCTAAAATCCAAAACTTCTGAACTCCACCATGACGTCCCAAGTAGAAAATGCCACATCTAACTTCCTGTGATGGTCAGCAGTCAAAATGCAGGTGCACTAAGAATAAGGCATCAATTCGCCTTCAAGATTTTATGTTGTATACAAAATACAAACAAATTTCATGATTAAATTTGGACCCTACCACAACGATGCTTCATAATAAAAATATATACAACTATTCGAAAATGAAATCTGTGAGACTTCTGGTCCTAAGCAGTCCAGTTAAGGAAACCTCAGCTTGTATATGAAAAGAATGAGAACTGATTAGATTAACATTACAGCTGCTCCAAAGAGCTGCATTCTATCAGAGCTGTAACAGCTTACTTGTGAACTGTCTTCCATCCTTCCCTCACCGATGAGCTGTTACCTAGACGTGTAAGATGCTTCTGGTCAGTGTTATCACAGCAAAAGACAGCACATGCATGCACATGCACTCGAAAGGGTGTGCACACATTCACTCATATCCGTACTGTGAGACTTGGTCTGTGCATCACAGGCATCCACCGGTAGGTGGATCTCTGTGAGTTCCCATCTAAGCTTAAGCCTTTGTGCCTACAACCTAAGCTGGGCCCAGGGATTCTCTCTTTCTTTTCATTTTGAACCATACCTGCCTACACCACTTCTAGGCTAACATCTATATATTTCTTCTATTCTCTCTCTCTCTCCCACTCCCTTTTCTTCAATGACTCCCCAAAGCCCTCCTGATAAATCTAAAATTCCTTGGCATGTACTTCATGATGCAGCCATCACTCCAAGTTCCCTTCACTCTCCCCCTGTCGCATACCCTCTAAGCAGTCTCCCACACTCGCTCATTCTACACCCATGTTCCCACTTGAGTCTCAGGCACTCACTCTCTTACTCTTTCACCTCCTAAATCTCAAAGTGTCTCTCATCTTCCAACCAGGTACACCCACCTTCCGCCCCATACATACAGACCTGACCTTTCCATTCAGTATTTCAGATTAATCACTTGCCACCAAAAAAAATTTTTTTAAATAAAATTTAACATTCTCTTTCCATTTAGTAGAAAGGCAGAAAAAAGTTACAAATTCCACAGAAACATAAAATATTAAGAAAAAAAAGAAACTGGAAAACTACTTCCTACCAGAAATAATAATTAGCTATGTCAGCAGCTAGAAAATAAAAATCGCTCATTTCCCCATGTAGTAAAATGAGGGGAAGAAAATTTCTACTTAATAACAACTTTCTCTTTTCCTCAAAGACTAAACAATTAGAAGATCTTTACCTTTTTCTAGTTAAACTGTGAATATAATCAAATCTAAACAAGGCTTACTAAACAATTTGATTGCCAAGTTCATTTAGAGGGAAGTAATTTGAGAAGAGACAAGAAGCTTTTTTAGGTTATAACAGTCACCAGGATGTGTCACACCTCTTTATTGAGATAGTATGGGTCTAGAAGAAACAAAACCAAACAGCACCACTAAGTCTATAAACGGAAGTCAGAAAATCAGTAAGTAAATTACATAGGTGACTGACACCTATTCAAAGAGGTTAAACTGACCACTTCTATAGTCTAAATACCAAGTGCAATATCAAGTGTCTTTACACAAAAATCACACACACACACACACACACACACACACACACACACACACAAACCCATGCATGGCATAAATGAGAAAACCTAGTTCCAAATATTGCTCAGTTTAAAAATAATACATTATGGCCATCAATCAATGTATCTTTCTGTGTGAGAATCTAATAGTAACTGAATCCTACACTCACTACTAAATTATGAGTATTTTATAAGTAGTTGCAATTGCAGTCTTTTGATTAGTATTAGATAATACAAAAAAAAAATAATGCAAAAAAAAAAAAAAAACCTTTGAGGGTTGTGGCTGGTACATCCTCTTCATTTAATCTAACTCTTCACCTTCCAGACTGCAACTTCAATTCACACTACAAGCCCAGGTTAAACTTCACTTCCTTAGAAGCAGTTCCTCATCTTCCCCGGCCTGTAATTATACTATAGTTGTACAGCTGCTCATCTGCTAATGTCTGTGGACCCCAACGTATCACTGGCCTCAGAGAGTAAGACCATGGTCTGTTGTGACCACTACACGTAACACTTACACCTGACACGTGAGACATGCCCACCATCCCAGCATACTATATTAACTTACATATAATAACACATATCCTGTCGGGACATATCCTCAAAAATACAAACATGCCCCCACAAAACCCCAACACTGAGGCTGTCATTAAGAGCGTCTTAATTTACAGGATATGAAAATAGCTCTCAAAGTATTATTTGTCACTCAGCTAACCACTAAAAAGTGCCATAACCAAACCCTACAACGTTTGCAACAAACAATTCACACAGGCTCATTCAATCAATCCCTTCACAGGTATTTCGGTCTACCCTAAGTATCTAACAAGCCAAACCCTGCTTCTAGCTCTCTATGCTCTACACTGACCACCGCTCCACACACACTTTGCACTTTGACCCGTTGCCCTCTTTTTCTTGATCACTTCCTCAGATCTCCAAAATAAACTGCTGACTTAATTAACGCACACATTACCCGCAAAGAAGGCACCGGATCTTTGGAATCGACATATACATCTCTTAGTAATGACAACAGCTTGTTATCTTTCCTAGAAACTTCTTCTTCGATTTCTGGATACTCTAAGGAAAGAAAAAAAAAGGCCATAATATATATTTTTTAAAAAGAAAAAATTCTCTAAAATCGTAAACACGTATGACAATATTAAATTAAACAATTATCTGGACATCTAGGGGTAAACACTAGGGCGAGATTCTGCATGCATCCCGCGCAGACTCCTTGAGGGAGCGCGGGCTGCCTTGGGCTCCGGGATTCCTTCCAGCCGCCACCACCCGGGGCCCGCGCGGGGACGACCTCAATGTCACCGGAGGCCTAGGAGGGCGGCACTCACGACTCAGGTGCTCCTGCAGGAGGCCGCGGGTGGAACGGTGCTTGGGTGCCATGGAAGGCTTCCTCTTGCTGATCTCCCGCTCCGCTCGCTGTTCCACGTTGAAGTTCCTGAAGGCGCGGGTCACGCGAGCCCCCATCTCTACAACATGATGCCCTTAGTTCACTACGCACGTGGGGAGACACCGGCGCGGGTGACCTCTGTGCTCGCGGAGCATGCGCACACGAGGGGTCAGGCACCCGTAAAGCGCCGAGGGTGCGCTCGTCGCCCCCTGGCGGCCGGGAGGACACACGCTGGACTCCGTTCCTCCCCTCCCCGGCCTCCCCCTCCCCCCGCAAGGGCGCGTGCGCAGACATCTGTGGGCGTTGCCAGGGACGCCCGCTGGCGACTCAGGAGGTTGAGTTGACCCCACCGTTGCAAATTATCTCGAGTAGCTGAAGTCAGGAACCGAGATCTTCCAACTTCCTCAGAGGGCAGAGCGCAAGGTCAAGGTTCTGAGTTTACCTGCCCATGTTTTTGAGAGACGAAAATTGAGAATATTTGTTCTCAGCCGCTCTTGCTATTTTCCTGTCCCTTGCCTGGTGCATTTCTGAGCCAATTTTGTTTTGGTTTTGTTTGTCTGTTTTAACTCTTTCAATATCTTCGCATACCATTTTCCCGTCACTCTGTCCCTAATGCTATGAATTTTAGGCTTTCCTCCCCCTTCTCTCATTCGTGTTACTAACTTGGCGTACTTCTCCATAAGCACCGAATCACGCCGCTCCCATTTCTCAGCTATGCTGCCTCTCTCAGTCTCAGAAATCTTGGGTAACAGTGTATTGGGGGGAGGGAGGGGCTTTAACGGTGTATTTGGAAAAAAAAAGGTTACATATTCTATCTTCCTTTCCCCTCCTTTTTCCAAACCCTTGTCTCTTCCTTTTCATTTCTGAAAGGATTCAATGTGATTGAGCCATACGTTTTTAAAGACCACCAGCAAAAAAATAAGTTTCCAAATTAATAATATTTCTCCCAGACCGTGGCTGTGAAATCTATTTAAGATTTTATCCTGGTTGATTAGATCAATAGATTGGTTGTGTCTAACCAATTTAAAGCAAAAATTAGGGGGAGGGAGTTAATTTTTTAAACGACTATTAGGAAAACACTAAAAGGGTAAAGTTCTCACCGTTAAAACCGTGTTGAATGAGTTAATGTGTTAGTTATCCTGAAGGTGGCAGTCTGCTCCAAGGTTTCCATCTGAGAGCTTTTAAACAAGTTCATAATTGGGTGAACTTTTTTAAACCAATTTCTCTAGGTGCCAAGAAATGTTCCTTAGCCTCATTGAGTCTGCTGTGTGCTTTAGGAATTATAGAAGCAATTCCACTCACTGCCTGCTAAAGTATTTTAGAAGTGAAAAATCTTATTTTCATGTGAGTCCATCAAACTTAGGGTAACATGAAAGTAACCTTACACAGGAGTTTCAAGTGAGTCCAGGACAGCAGATAGTACAATATTAATGATTTGTGAGTTTCTACACACCGGCAAATCTTGGATTTGACACTGAAAGAGACATCCTCAGGTGAACCTACGGCTTTATCTAGCCTTGGCCTGGGGTTGCTCAGACCCTTAAAGACCAAAACAAGGCAGACAGGCTCCAGCATAATCCACCTTTGGCTATCTTACTTTGGCAATCAAAATGGAAATAAATCCTGGACCATAAGTGCATAATTTCAGCTCTTTTTGTCAAAACACAAAATAACAGGAGGTGTGAACTTACAATTTTCCCTCTGGCTTCTGTTTAAGGGTTGAAAGCAGATCCTCAAGGGAAGTCAGAACAATAATGGACGATAGCGATGAGCCACAGGTATTGCCAAAACAGGAAAATGCTAGGTTTTTGAAGAGACATTTTCCTTTGCTTTCTTTCATACTGTGTGCCCAAATGGTGCTAGAATAAAGCAGGTGTTTACACTAAGTTCAGTTTCAATTGCTGACTAACATGCTCTTCCGTGTGATGGTGTTATGGAACCCAGGAAGGCTAGAACATCAGTAGGAATTACATCAAGTGTTTAAAATGCCATCTGCCTTTGCCTGGCACTCACAGCAGTAATACTCATCAGGCAGATCCTACAAGCTTCCCTCACTGTAGTGTAGAAGTTTCCTCCTGGTTGAAACCTCAAGCAGGAGGGATGCTTATGAGACTCAGGAAGTCACAGAGCTCACAAGTTTGGGAAAACTGAAGTCTGCTTGATTAAAGAAGCCCACTCAGTAGTGCCAGGGAGAGGAGGCTTGGAGTTGAAGAGCTGCCTGAACGTCAGACAGAGAGCTCCAGCATTGCTTCATTGGTGAATTGTCATCCAGATTGGAGTGGGCTTCTTAGTGAAGTAGCTCCCTATGAGAAACCCCTGTTCCTCTAATGTATCCCAATGAGTAACACCCAATAAATCCACTAGCTTTCCAAGTTGGACTCTGGTGGAATTATTATTTTATCCATTCATTGGTTCCCTAGCTAAAGTTAGTAGACATTTATTCACATCTTCCCAAGAAGCATCTGTCACAGGATACTCATCCTCCTCAGTTCTTCTCTCTGCCTCGACTCACCATTACACGCTTCTTCCTTGCAACATTCTTTAATGCCCTACAAGGCATTTTAGAACCGACACTCAGGAAACAGGTGACTCAAGCTTCAAGGCATACCCTAAAAGTGTTATAGTGAACAAATTTCAGCTGTTCATGGGTCTCAGAAATGACATCCTCATGGGGTATTGATGTTGAAAGAGAACCTCTCTAAAATCTGTACTACATCCCAGGAGTCAACAGACTTGTAAGAGCCCAATTCACATTATTTCTGAGCCTTTAAGTTTGACCAGTTTTATAGAGACATGAAGTTACTTGTTTGTCAAACTTGGAACTGGGGTCCGGGGGACCCAGACTCCAAGCCAAAATGTATTAGTCTTTTTGCAGATCTAGTACTCAAACTGAGAAAATATGAATCTTTTAAATCACACTGACAAGAAACACAGCTCTCAGCTCAAAAGAAATATGATATAATGAGTCAAATATGAATGACCATAGTTTGGGAATATAGATTCAGGTTGTCCTAAACAACATGATGTAGTGTGGAAGTAGGTATATGAACTTTTCATACGCACAGAACAAAGGAATCATAAATTAATGCATTTACCAAATATACTTGTGGAACATCAGGTAGGCAGGTTACAGCAGAATAGAAAAAGCTCTGTTATAGGTCTCAAATGCTATCTGATGAAACCTTACACTTTTGGTTTGGAAACGTAAGTAGTCTGTTAATACAGTCAGATAGCTGAAAGGTTATTAGATTAGACCCTTAAGGTGAATGATAAATGGATACTCATAAGAATAAAGATAAACTGAAATAACTTTGGCCCTTGTATTAACTACTCATCACATTATTGTGACAAAATTACCTGATAAAAGCAGCTTAAAGGGCTGTTTGTTTTGGTTTACAGTTCAAGGCTATACAGATGATCAGGGCAGGGAAAGCAAAGTAGCAAAACTGAGGCAGCTGGTCACTTTGCCTTTGTATTCAGGAAGCAAAAACAAACAAACAAACAAACAAAAAAACCCTGGTGCTCATCTTGCATTCTTCTTGTTTAGATCATGCTCCAAACCCATGAAATAATGTCACTCACATTTAGAGTAGGCTTTCCCATTGCAAGGAGCCCTATCAATATAGGTAGGCCCCTCAGGTTAGGCTTGCCTCTGGTGATTGTAAGTTTTCTCAAGTTGACAGCCAAGAGCCATCCCAAGTGTACCCATGATCAATTTGACACCATAATTATCACACCACTTGTAAGTCACAACAGTTTATCTCTTGTCCCCATAGACCCATGGCCATCTCATAAAATACATTTAGTCCAACTTCTAAAGTCCTCAGAATCTTTAACAATCCCCAAACTATTCAATAGTTCAAATGCAGCGTCCGTTCTGAAACTCAAGTAGTCTCTTAACTCTGAGTAACTATAACATCAAAACACCAGTTACAAACTCTCAATATGCGGTGTCACAGAGTAAGCAGCTCCACTACAAATGAGAGAGACGGGAGCATAGGAAGGAAGGAAGGAGTGAGCAAGAGCAAGATCAAAAATCGAGTAGGGCAAACATCAAATCCTGCAGCTCCATGTTTGGCATCTGGGGCATGTGATGGAATCATCTGTGCTCTAAAGGGCTAGGGTGTACCACCTCTCTGCCTGTGGCACACCCACACAGTACTAGCATCTCTAGCATTCTGGATGTTTCACTGTAGCATAGACTCTGCCTTCGTATCTTCCTGCACTGGCCTCGTGGGGCTTCTTGGTAAAGGCTCTACCTCTGTTACATACTGCTTGGTCTCTGAGGCTGTGTGAAACCTTGGTGCAGGCCAATATAACTTCACATCTTTCTTCCCATCAAAAGCAGTACATGAATGATACTACCAAGTCCACCTTTAGCTATAGCCTAGCCTCCTTGGATCAGAGTTGTATGGCCCTCTACATGTTAATTCCAGGAAAACCATTCCCTAAGGGATTGTTTTTCAGTAGAGAATACTTTCATTAGCATTAGTTCACTCTCTCACCTTTCAAATGAATTTGAATTTGGGGATGATGGCACCTTTCATGGGTAGGATCTTGCCCTCAAGCTCTTTAATGAAAAAAATATATATTTTCTCAGATCCCTTGTCTGCAATTAAAAAAAATTCTTTGTTGTTTTAATTATTTCTGTATGAGTCTTTGTGGGGCTATTTGTGTGTGAGTGCAGGTGCCTGCAAAGGCCAAAAGATGATGTCTGATCCCCTGGAAAAGGAGGTACAGGCAGTTTTAAGCCACACAATGTGCCAGGACCTGAATTCTGCAAGAGCCATACACACTCTTATCTCTCCAGTCTTTGTTTGTAACATCAAACTCACTCTGTTCTCCATCAAAACCATAGTTAGAAAATATAGTTTTGTTCCTTTTCTTGTTCTATATCACAATAAACCTGGTCAGAACAGTAAACAATATGCATGCCAAAGGCTGAGTGCTATCCTGTTCTGAAATTTACTGCATCAAACAACTTAGTCCCTTAATTTTCAGTTCAGCCTCGCTGAAGCTATCAGGATATGGGCAGTGTACAAGCAGTTTCTTTGCCATAATATAACAGGATTGGCCATGAGCCCAGTTCCTGAAAGCATCCTTGTTCCCTCTGAAACCTCGTCGTTTGGG